TGAACTCTGTCCACTGTACCACCTAACTGCTTCAGAAAAAAAAAATCACAGTGTTGGGAAAAACAGATCAGGGACTGAGAGAAATGCTTTCAAGAGCCTGGAACAAGAGGGGTCTCCAGGATGCCTATAACAGCCTTTAGTATTCCCAGCTGGTATCCCATTGCAATCGAAGGCTGGAGAGTGCTGCTTAAAATACACAGCATTACAAACTGATTTCCAGTGACACAAACACCAAACCCAGAATCCCAGGTTAAGAACTGCTGCTCTATACGATCTCAATCAGTGAAATCATCAGGTCCAAAGGGTTCAATTATCACCTCTATGCAGATGATTCCCAGATTCTATATAGGACTGAAACTGAATGCTAAATCATCATAATGCCCAAGCTTGGCTCCAAAAAAGAAATAAGAAGGCACCCCTTCCCTACTTTGAAGAGGTAGGGGAAATATAGATGTGGAAAACTACAACTGTCAGACTTTTAAAATACAATGGTTTAAAATATATTAGTTAGCTTTGCTGAACTGTTTTTTCCCCTTTTTTATTCTTTGTTATGAGAAATGCAGGAAAAGGGATTCATTGGGAAAAACAGTTAAAATAAAAACGATTTTAAAAAGTTATTTTGAAAAAAATTTGAAAAAAAATGCTTTTAGTGAATTGGGTGAATCCTAGAAGAACTGTACAGGATGAAAAGGGTGGCAGTGTTGTAATATACAGTGAAGTAAAGCAGCATAGAGGCCATAGAGCCATGAAAATAAGTATCAACAGCTATGTAACAGTATAGCTACTCTATAATGGTTGTCATATTGTATATTATATTATTACATATCACATTCATTGCATTGTTGTGTGTTATATCTTCCCTGCTAGGCTATATGTCCACAAAACCAGAAGCCATTTCATAAATATTTTTCTATCTACTTCAATGCCTACCTAGCATAATATTCTGCACGTGCTACCTACTTAATAGATGTTTAAATTATTCAAAACTTTTAGCCCCAAAAACCATGATTTTACTCTTAAAACCCATTAAAAAATTTTGTGATGGCACAGAGTAAATGCATCATTGCTCACGGCATAATCATAGAATCTTTGACCCTAGAGCTGGAACAGATCTTAGCAGTCTTATCCAGTCCAGGGTTTTTGAACCCAAATTATGCCGAAGACTGGTGAAATATTAAAATTCTGTATTGTGGACTGCCTTATTGGGCAGGAAACAAGGAAAAGACAGAAGCAGGGTATAAGCAATAGAGAGAGGAGGACTTGGAGCTGTTTTCTAACATTCTTAGGTTTTAAGAAGGACCTTCAGTAGTAACAGTATTGTTGTCTATTCCCCAATTGACAAAGGATATGAAAAATCAGTTCTCAAAAGAAGAAATCTGAAATAACTATGATCATGTGAAAAAAATGTTCCAAACAACCAATAACTAGAAAATTGCAAATTTAAGCAACTTTGAGGTTCAACCTCACACCCATCAGATTGCCAAAGCTGACAAAAAATGACAAATATTGGGAAAACAGGCACATTATCATACTGCTGGTTAAGCTAAGAATTGGTAGACATTCAGAAAAGCAATTTAGAATTATGACCTTCTAAAGTTATTAAATTGTGCATGCCCTCTGACCCAAAAAGGCCACTATACTCCTAAAGAAATCAAAGAATAAGGAAATGAATCCATAGTATATAGCAGTTCTTTTTCTGGAGGCAAAGAATCAATTAATCAATAAACATTTATTAAGCGCCTATTATGTGCCAGGCACTGTGCTAAGTACCATAACTAAGGGACAGTTCCTCTATTAGGCAAAGATTAAATAAATTATGGTATATAAGTGTAATGGAATACTACTGTGCTGTAAAAAAATGACAAAAAGTATAGTTTCAGAGAAACCTGGACAAATGTATGAATTGATGCAGCATGAAATGAGCAGAACCAGGAGAACAATTTATACTCTTGTTAACAGTATAAAAATGAACAACTCTGAAAGACTATTTCAGAGGGCTGATAGTTAAGAATGTTACCCATCTCCTGAGGGATGATGATCAGAATGAGACAAAAATTTAAAAGAAATTTTTGTCTCATTCTCTCACAGCCAATGTGAGAATTTGTTCTGCTTAACTATGTATATTTTCAAAACAAGTTTTTACTGGTATCTCTCTCTCTCTCTCTCTCTCTCTCTCTCTCTCTTTTTTATGTAACCATAGTTTTCCCCAGTATCTCCTTTCCCTCTTCCTCCTAGATAGCCATTTTATAAAATAAATAAAAAATTTTAAAGACACAAAAGGGGAAAAAATCATCGTAACTGATTACTACACTGAACAATTCTGAAACTATCTGCAAAGCCCAACACTTGTGAATCTGCTACCTCTCGGGGGGGGGGGGGGGGGGGGCGGGTTGGGTAGTGGCAGCTCTTCTTTTGAGCCCTGCTTGGTCTTTAGACTGTCTACATTTGTTATGAGAGGTTTGGGGTTTTGGGGGGAAAGGGGGGAGATGGACAATGGAAATGAGAGAGAGAGGAAATATACGCTTATTAACTGAAAAAAAATTTTAATTAAAAAAAAATCACAACAGTATTGTGGTCTGGTAAAAATTTGCCAGGGGCTGGCAGTTGTTAAAGAATGACATAGCCCAATTTGTTGCCTGTAAGTGCTCTAATCTGTCCATGCATCTATTAATATGAGATCACTAACCTGAACACAATATATGAGATAACACTTAATAGCTATGTAATCCTAAGTCAACTACTTAATCTCTGAGCCTTATTTGTCTCCTCTGGATATAAAACTGGGAAAATAGTGACACTTAGTTCAGGCTGTGAGGAACAAATGAAAAAGCTGACAAGTTAGTGCAGTGGTTAGAAATGTAGATTTGAAGTCATGAAGATCTAAATTTAAATCCAGGTCAAACCTTACTAGAGTTTGTGATCTTAGGCAAATCACTTAACCCATCTGCTTCAGTTTCCTCACCTATAAAATGGAGATAATAGCATCTACCTCCTAGAGTCATTGCGAGGATAAAATGAGTTATTTGTAAAGCACTTTGCAAACATTAGTATGGCACATAAATGCTAGTAAAAAAATTTTTTAACGATAATGTTAAAAATTTCAAATCTTAAATACTAAATAAGCTCACAGGATTGTAATTGTAAAGCTGGAAGGTACCTAAAGGAAATCTAGTCCAACTCTTTCATTTTATAGGTCAGGTAATTGAAGTACAGAGAAGATGTGACTTGCCCAAGGTCACACAGTAATAAATGGCAGTCAGAATACACGACTGGGTCATTTGACTCCCAAATTCAGTTCTTTCCAATGAACCATGATTCTAAATAAATGTCAACTGTTAATACCATAACTAGGACTATGATTCATATGAATTAGAAGGAAAGGATTTCCCATTCAAAGAGTTCAAGATTTCATACAATATACTGACAGTCTGACTGGGCCCCTTCTCTTATATGACTACAAAAGGTGAATTCTGGGGCAGCTGGGTGGTGCAGTGAATAGAGCACTGGCCCTGATGTCAGGAGGACCTGAGTTCAAATTCAGCCTCAGACACCTAACACTTACTGTGTGACCCTGGGCAGGTCACTTAACCCCAATTGTGTCACCAAAAAAAAAAAAGTGAAATCCAACTTGTTTATTTATCATTCAGGTTTTTTACTTTCATCCAACTGGCCCCACAAGCCACACCTCACCAATGAGAAGCTAATCAGAGAAGTTGCTGAGACCTAGGATAAAAACTGTGACTGTTCAGCTATGGCTTCTTTTGACAAAAAAATTACACTCTTTTTCTTATGTGCTCTCTTTACTTCCTTCACCCCAGAAACAAAGTAAATTTCATGCCAATGAAGTCACTAAGCAGCTAAATCCTTAATTTATCTTTATAACACAAACTCTGGGAAAACAGATTTCAAAGACGTCTGAAAAAGGATAGGTAGGATTTTCTGGCCTAAGATTCGAGAGGGCAAATCAGTTCACAGAGGACAGAACGCTTTCAAGACTAAAATTCTGAAGACAAAACGTTTCAAATAAGGAATAATAATAAATCACATTTGTATAGTGCTTTAAGACTCACAAAGTTCTTTCTTCACAACAATCTTGCCAGTTTGATATGGGAACCAGATATTTGAGAATTGTCCCCCAAGTCTTCCCTTCTCCAGAGTAAACATCCCCAAGTCCTTCGACTTGTTCTCAAATGATATTTTTTTCAATGTTCTCCTCACCTTGGTTCCCCCTACTCTCAACATGTTTTAACTTGTCAGATTTCCCACTACAATGTGGAACCTAATTTTCCACTGAAGGCTTTTCCTCTGCCCATCATCAATTCAAAATCTGAGTAAAGAATTCGATGTACCATGTTCTGGGCACTGATTGAATTCTCCAAGGAATAAAATAACCGGCTCAGTCTCTGACACAGTTCTTCATTTTGGGGAGGCAAACTAAGTGTAACAGCTAAGCATTAGAACTGAAAACCACAACAATGTCCAGATGCTGGTTTTCCTGATGCTTCTTGCTAAATGCATACCAAGTCCCTTCCGTGATCTTTCCTTAATAAAGGAAGGATCACACTGCTGGTCAGAGCTGTGATGAAGATCTGGAGTAGCTGAGCTCAGATTCTGACAGGTGCTTCTTTTGACCACCTCAGCTCCTAGAGGAAAACATCCTTCAGTGGCTGCTGGGAAAATACCCTAATGAACCAGAACACAACAGGATTTTCCAGATAACCTAAGAAATGATACATCCAATACCCAAAATCACGAGATAAAAGTTTTATCTCCATCAGCACACAAGGAAAGCTAGATGCAGTGCCACATCTAGGGCTGCTGAGCAGGAAGATTATAGGAGACAAACTTGTCGTGTGCTCCTGTTTATAGATCTGCTTGACTTATAATATGCTGACGATAAGATGGAGTGAGAAAAAAAGTCTAATTCACCTAATTTGAACATGAATGAGGTAGGGCTGGTAGAAGGGAGTTAGATTCTTTAAATAGGCAATGGTTACTACCTGACAGAGGGGAAGGGGAGGCATCCACATCCTGCTGGACCACCTCAGGTGGAGGCAGTTCAACCTTCTCCTCTTCTGGGCCCCATCTGCTCTTCCTTTTCTTCTTGGTCGTAGCTGCAGCCACTGCCTTGCCAGGAGCTGGAGTGGTGGAAATGGTAGTGGAGGAGGAAGGGGATGGAGATGAAGAGGAAGAAGGGGCCTCTGGAGGTGTCTTCCGTTTCAGACCAGGATCAGGTGTGGCAGTTGTACCTACAGAGCTGGCCTTGGCTTTCCGGAACTCCTCCAGTTTCTGTCGGTAGTATTTATATCCTTTGCTGTTCGGCTCATATAAAAACCTATAAAGGTAGATATATGTGTTCCTAACTAAGAAGATCAAACACCACGGAATCAAGTCTCCTACTGCTCTAGGGTACCAGTTACTTCCCAAAAAAGTGACTCTTGCAAGTGTCTATGTAGGACGATATCAGATGCACTGGGATTATTTTAGCTCAATGCAAACACATAGAGCTTCTCTCAACTATACCCCAATATACTGCCAATTTCAATTCACACCAGACACTCAGATTCTGGGTCATTAGCTGACTGTAGTTCTGGCAGATAAAGATTATGTCTCCTCAGAACAGCTACCTAAGAATATAACAACCATATCAGTGGGAGAGTACATATTTTCACCAAGAGCAGGCTTCAGAGTTCATGCTGACCAAAGAACATTTTCAAGGATTCATTTAAAAGCAAAAGTTCTTACTAACTGCTCTGAGGAAAAGGGTGAAAATCATTTTACAGCCCACACATTTAATAATGGTGGGGTAAAGGTGGGACGGTAGTGATGAAAATCAGACACTGTCACAACTTTTATCATCAAACAAAACCCAACAAAGAGAACATTTTTGCCTCCCTCAATCCCCTATCTAGAAAAAGTCTCCACCCAGATCTCGGCTAGGTTGCTTCAGATGATAGCTTTGAAAGGAGCACTATCTTTGTACTAGGAAATTCTGAATTTTACATAAAAAACATCCATCAAAGTACTAGTATGACTCCTCATCAGGGTATGGCTGGAGGTGAACCCGAATTCTTGAAGGCTATGCCAATACCACAGAAGGACCAAGTAGGTCCTACCACGTTGGAGATGTTCATAATACAGATCCAGTGAAGTCCTGCATATCTGTTTTCTGAGAACCAACCTAGCTAAGCTTAGAAAAGTTCAGAACCAAAGGACTGGCAATCAGGTGTGACTCTGGCCAACCTAGGTCAGGAAACCAGCTCTTAAAGGTATGGAGGGAAAGTGATTTAAAAAACCTTAGGTGCTATGTAGACATGAATGAGATCCCCTCAAAGCTTTAAGGAAATTAATGGACTACAAAGCTTGAAATATGGACATCTGTCTTTAAAATGCCACTCAAAACAAACAATCCAAGTCTGGATATGAGCCAAAATGGTAACATTTAAAACAAAATGGTTCGTTATTAACTGATGAACTTGACTTTAAATCCACTGGGAGAGCAGGTTTAAGAGTCCTCTTGAAAACAAATTTAAAAGTTGTAGGAGCTGCTTCTCAACAGAAGACAGTCAAATTCTTTATACTAATGAGAATCTCTTAGTAAAGCAGATAAAGAATTTATCCAAGAGACAGCACCACAATGGAAGGGTCTTACCTGGGTCACAGAAATATATCTGATGGCAAGTGCACCATAAAAGACTTACCATAAATGTGGGTCTTTATAAGCTATGGTCATTGTAGGCTAAAAACATAGAAAGGTTAGGCCGCACAGAACTTTCTGTCCCAATAATAAACAAGTCTGCCCATGAGCAAGGAGGAAAATAGGAATGGACGTTTCTAGATACAGGCATCAAATAATGCCACAGGAATACCGACAAAGTGACCATTAGCAAATGATGGAAAGGCAGGGTTTGGTGACAGTGTAATAATAATACCACCTGGTGTTGATATAACACTTTAACATTTGCAAAGTGTTGTACACAAATAATTTCACTTGATCTTCACAACCCTGTGAAGTCAGATCTATGAGAATTTATTGTTCCCATTTTGTGGATCTGGAAGCTGAGGCTGAAAGAGATTAAATGACTTAGCCAGGGTCACCCAGCTAATACGTGTCTGAGACGAGATTTTAATTCATGTCTTCCTGACTTCAAGTCCAGCACTCTATCCTCTGCACCAGACTGCCCTATTGATGTGGGTCAGGACAAGATTACATGAGTTATACCCACATAAATAACACTGGATGTGCATCAAAGCAATGTTACACAAGGGTAAATTTTTATACATTAGCCTGGACAGAGGACATGGACCCAGGAATAACACTGTAAAAGACAGCCAATTTCTATCTTGAACTACTTAGGAAATACAGGAGAGACACAGCACAGGTCAGCATAATTTTATGGAAAGAATACTCAGTTTGGAGTTGAATCCTGGCTCTAACACTATCTATGTGACCACAAACAAATCAGAAATGTCTCTGGGTCTCAGTTTCCTCCTATCCAAAATGGGGACAAGAACGCTCCCACACTACCTACAAACAAGGCTGTTGCAAGGAAAGTGCCTTGTAACCCCTAACAGTACTATATAAATGTGAATTTGCTTTATTATATTGTTGTTATATCAAAACCAGAAGTGCCATATGCTATACAGGGGCAGCTGGGGGCCTGGAAGGCCAACTTCATTAAACCCAGTTATCTATTCATATCCTCAAGCAAAAACAGCACTTTTGCAGGCAGTATACATCAACAGCACTGCAGTCAATTGAATCCTAAGGATTCTTTCTTCCCATGAATGTTAACTGCAATCATCATCTCACCTGAATGCATGGTTTTCCCTGTTGTTCTGCAAGGCAATTGTTTCCACTTCAGGACCCCCGTCAGCTATAAACCTGGCCAGCTTCTCAGCAAAAGTCTTGGTCTCTTCATCCTCTGGGGGTGAAACTTTAAGCAGGCTGTCAGTACTGGGCTCAACTCACCACACCCAACAGTCAAAAGCCTAATATGTTCTAAGAACCCCAAGGGCAAGAGGAGGGGTTTATTGGGGGAATGATACAAAGAAAAACAGGCAAACGGTAATCAGGTTACTTCACTGGGAACAAATTGTGGTCTTTACTAGTCTGACTGCTCTGAATGACCCCTGAACCAAGAATTTAAACCACACATATATTTTTGGACTGGAATTATATATCTTTGGACTGGAACATGAACTTTCTCTTTTGGAATCCAGGTTTGCATCCTGCATTCAGGACAAGTTGGAATTTGAGAGAGACATTCTGTGTTCAGACAGATGCTTAGTTTAACACACCACTTGTGGGACTTATCTAGGCTAGGCACAGGGCAATGGAATTTTGGTTGGGTGCGCTTCTCATTCTTACCCGTGGGAGAAGATTGCTATAGGAGCCCTATACTGAGTAGAAGTAATAAAGAGAAGGAATGTGGGAATTAAAGAGCAATTGGCTCTTCATGGGAATCTCCTTAAAAAACTATTTCTGCTCAACCATCAATTTTTTTCCCCCACTGCCCTACAGTAGTTTATCATTCACCGGAATATTACTCCATTTAAAATACGATGACTACTTAAAATTTTTCAGCTTTCATTTGAAATTTACTGCATCGAAATCTTAAAAATTCATTTCAATTTCCCCCACATTTATATTCTGAGAAAGAGATGGCACTTCTAAGCTTCAGTGTACATTGAAAATTGGCATCTTAACCTTAAAAGACCTCTTATATTCACAGCTGAGCTTCTGCTACTTGGGAAAGAATGAAGCTGCTGCTCTTTTCAACTAGTCTGCATGGTGATGCCTCAATACTAACTCTGCAGGCTATCACCCTTGCTGTGGCCCATTCAGGCCCAACACAAGGGAAAGCATTTCTGACCCTCTGCAGTGGGATTTGGCGCGCCCTCCTCTACCTTTTTGAGAAGACGGTGTCTGGGCATTCTGGCTTTCCTTTTTCATCTCTGCCACTTTCTTTCTGTAGTACAGGAATTCTCTGCTGTTCTTATCATGCAAAAATCTGGAAGGATGGTTAGAAAAAGTCATGCAATGTGTGACTCTGACAATTTAATTATAAAGCTTTTGATGGTTACATTTCTAAAGGGAATAAATGGGCATCTTAATGTAATATAAGCTCTGAGAGGCATCACACCTGACTGCTGGCAGCTGTTTCAATGAAAGTTTCATCAACGAGTCACTCTCTCAAGGCTCCATACCTTAACGCTAGAAGTTAATAAGCTGATTAAAAAATAAATTAAGCACACTTATACTTACGAAAATGCAGGGTTATCCTTGTAGTCCTCCATAGCAACCTTTTCTAATTCAGGGCCTCCTTCTGCCACAAACCTGGCCAATTTCTCTACCACTTTCCGGGTCTCTGCATCCTCTGGGGGTAAAACTTTAAGCAGGCTGTCAGTACTGGGGTTCAATTCATACACCCAACAGTCAACAGGCACATTATTTCTAAGAACCACAACAACAGACAAGAATGGGATGGGGGAGGGAGGGAAGAAGAGGGATGAAATGGGGCGGTAATCCTAGTATGATGTACAAATTACCAGTGACTGCTGGGGGCAGGGATGTAATTCTGAACAATTTCATGAAATGTACCGGAAGGGAAAAAGCTAAATCCATATAGTCACTGCCAAAAAGTGAGTATCCAGAATAGACACTAACATACCCTCAATACAGCCTTCAATGAGTAAATTTTTGTTCCTTGGAGTAGGGGGGGGGAAGGAGTATGTATGGAACTTGCAGTGTAATTAAATTGGAACCTAATAACTAGCTTTCACCTTCCTATTAAGATTAAATGATGATCTCTAAATCCAGAGTGGTACCAATGCACCAGTGTAGGATACAGCTGACATTACCGAATGTCCTTTCTAAGGAACATCTCTCTCTCAGAGCTTTCCCTTCCTAGACTACAAACAAGCTCCTGCAGCCAAATGACAGTCCTGACTTCCCTTCCCACCTCTGCCCAAAGCAGACTTGAAATCAGCACAAGGTACTGAAGTGAAAGTGCCAGGGACCAACATTATTATATCAGTAAGAGTAACACAGACTTCCTCTACCATTCTACCCACATGGATCCTTGGTCAAATCTGGATGGAAGACCCCAGGAAGTTTCCAGGACTCATTCAGAGACCGAGATGAGTGAATCAAACGGAATCAACGTGGGGTGGGGGTAATGGGAGTGAATAGGAATGAGGAATCCATTTAGTTTGATCTGCAAAGTACCTTAGAAAAGGAACCACATTTTAACAGGTAGAAACAGGTTTGGAAAGGGCCAAGGACTTGCCGAAGGTCTCACATCAGTTAGTGACAAAGCTAGCACATAGAATTCAAGTCTCCTGACTCCTAGTTCGAGGCTCCTTCCACTTTAACATGGTGTCTTCCATTATATGAAGTTTCCTTTATCTTATACAAAAAGCTGAGAAACACTAGGATACCTTCTCTTAGGCAAAACACACTTGTGATTCACCCAAAAGACGGTGCCTATTGGAAATCTAGGTTTGTCCAGTGTCCCCACTCCTCTTGCTATTGAATAGGCCAATTTATAAGAAAACTTGAGGGGCTGAGGGGGAAGCACTACACTTACTTTTAATTTCCAACCACTGCTCATAATCTTCTTCATCATCATCATCTGGAGACTGGAAGACACTCAGGCGGTTAGCCACAGGGCTCTGCTTGGCATGAGAGTAGTTCTTTACTTGGTTGAAAGGGTTGCTCACTCCCAGGCTGGGTCTCTTTCCAATCAAGATTGGTCTTTTCCCAGTGCTTGAGGTAGAGACATTAGAGGGAGCACAGGTAGAACTTGGAGAAGCATCTTGGAAGGAAAGAAGAGCAATGACAACCACAAAAGACATAACATTTACTGGTGGCAGCAGCCACTGCCCTAAATTACAGAGCTGGATGGGACCTTGACAAAGTATCTAGCCTGTTACCATGCCTTCAAGTACTGTCACACATAAGTAACCCCAGAGATGTGCATGCCAGTTCTAGATTTACAAAGAAGATTTCAAAACTTAGCATTTCTATTCCAAGAGCAAAATTTTCAAATGCAAAGTTTTTCCTCTTACTTCAGTCCTAAATATTTCCTATTCCACTTTAAAATCATTTTCCCCCAGTGGCAAGAATTAGTCAAACCTAAGTTACCATGTTAACAATCAAAAGGAATTTATTTTCAAATCACACCAACCTATTTGACATACAGCATAGAAAACAAGATGAAAAATATTCTGCTTCATTTGGAACTATGCCCCCAAAATTACTAAATTTAGCATATATTCTTTGACCCAGCCACACCACTACTGGCCAAAACACTTAGTGATGGCAAAGAACTGGAAAGTAAGAGGGTGCCCATGACTTGGACAAAGGTTGAACAAGTTATAGTAAGTAAATGTAAAGGAATGCTAGGGTAATGTAAAAAATGAGGAAAGGAACAATTTAGTTATAAAAGTTTACAGAAAAAGGCTATAGAAAACTTAAGAAGACTTGTATGAATCAATATAGAATAAAATGAGCAAAACCAGGAGATCAATTCATACTACAATAAAACTATAGAAGTGAAAAAAACCTGAAAGATTTAAGAACTCTAATTAATCCAATGATCAACCATTTCTCGAGAAGACCAATGATGAAGAATACTACTCACCTCCTGACAGACTAGTATGCAGAATGAGACAGTTTTGGACATGACCAATATGGGAATTTGTTCTGCTTGACTATGCTTATTTGTTTTAAAGATTTTGTTTTTCTTTTTGGCGGAAGGTAAAGGTGGAACAGATATTTGGAAGACAGAGAAAATAAATGCTCATTAACTTTTTAAAGATAAAATTTGATTTAAAAAAAACAGAAAAAAGTTTGCTTTTCTCTACTCTCTTTCTGTTATTACATTAATGTGAACACTTATCAGCCTGACTTCTGGTGTAGGTACTAAGTATCAGTAAAAAAGACAGATGATATATAATCAGAAAGGGAAAAGGAGAAGAAGATAGAAGGGGTAACTAACACACAAATTATAAATCATAGGATTTTAAATTTGGAAGGGACCTTTAGAATGTTAATTCAATCCTTTAATTTTTCAAATAAGTAAATTTATGAGCATAGAGGGGGAAGGAATTCCTCAAGGTCACATAGATAGTAGGTGGCAAAACCAAGATCTGATCCCATTTTCTGACTTCAAACCCACTGTTCATTAAATATACAATGCTGCCTCCTGACTACTACCATCAGACTGAAACAACACTGACGTCTGAAAAAAGTAGTGTGATGTAACGACAACAACTTGGAATAGGAGATTTATATTTAAGTGGTGCCCATAACATCAATTTATTTCATGGGTATGGGCAAGTTATTCCACCTCTGACACTGTTTTCTCCTATATAAAATTGGAATACCCACCTCACAAGAGTGTTGTGAAGATCAGATGAGATAACACTGTGTGATTTATTGCTATCATCATTATTATTATTATTAGGATATTATATTAATTTGTATTAATGCCAACTATTAGAAAGTCAAAACAAGCCTCTTAATTCCAAATAAAATATAGTGGTGAGGACGCTACACTTAAGCTCTTTTTCCAAAAGCAGGCTTTAAAGAGATGATGTTTGTTAAAAATAAACAGCTTTGACCTTAGATTGCATCAAACCAGAGGCTAATCCAGATTAATGTTGCTAAAGCATGGCTCTGATGAAGTCACTTCACTGTTCAAAAGTTTTCAATGGTTCTCCATTGTCTACCAAATAGAGCTCCAACTCTTTAACCTGAAATCCAAGCCCACCAAATGTGGTTATCTGGTTCCAAAACTTATCATTACAGCCTTAAATTGCACTATTCCCCCTCATACAAATAATCCAGCCATAATGAAGCAGGCCCCACTTCACCCTGAAAAGGCATTGTTTGTACAGACTTTTTCTACTTCCCTCTACACCCAAAAAGTAATCTTCCCCATCCCTGCCTACTGACCTCTGCTCTCTCTCAAAGACCAAATTTAGGCATAATCTTTCCTGTCTCTCTAATCTTACTGCACTTTTTATTCCTTTTATGTACTACTCTGTGAAAGATCTAGACTTGTGATTTCCTTGGATTAAGGACTTTCTGGTGTAGAAGCTCCCGCTACCAACACAAATCTCAGTAATATATAATCTGAGTTACCTGAGGCACTGAGGGGTTCAGTGACTTGCTGATGATCACACAACTAGTACAAATCAGAGGCAGGACTTGAACCCTTTGGGTCCTGACTTCAAGGTCTGTTCTTCATCCTCTATAAAAGTGGCTGTCAAAGTTGAGTAGAGGGACCTCGAAGGGTCCCCAAGACCCTTTCAAGAAGTCTGCAAGGTTAAAACTATTCTCATAATAACACTAAGATGTTTTCATTCCTAATACGATAACTAGTGATAGAGATTACTCACGTTTTTTTAAAAAGCTCTTTAGGGGATTTTCATTTTTTGAGCGTGTAAAAGGGTCCTGGAGTTAGCAAAGTTTGTGAATCTCTGCCCTATGCCATGCTGCCTCTTCTTAAATATTTACCGTTTTCTAATTTTTATTATATTTACCTGTATATATGTCTCATATATTTAGTGAAACTCTAAGATTCCTAACACATTTCTGATTTGTTTTTGTGCCTTTCCCAGAATCAGCATATAGTAGAAACTTAACAAATGTCTGTTGAATGCTGAATAACTGAGTGAATGCGCCTGAGGCATGGTTCCAAGAGATTTTAGAACCAAAGTTCCCAGAATCCTCTAGGCTCCTAGGTTGAAATGATCTTACCTGTGCAGGATCTTTCCTTCTGCAGCTTCAGAAACTGCTGCAGGAAGCTGCCATCGTTGGCAAACTTGTTAGAGACAGAAGCAGCATTTGGTGCACTTGCAATTCTAAGCGCAAAACAAAATAGATATCAGATGACAAAAAATAAGATTTTTTTTAATTAAAAAAAAGCCACTAGGAAACCTGCTAAGTTTTAAGCCAGATAAGCAAAGAATGACAATCATCAAGCTTTTATGAAGTACCTACAAATGTGCCAGGTCCTATGCTAGGCAAGCAGGGATACAAATGCAAAAGTGAGACAATCCTTGTTCTCAAGGAGCTGACATTCTGCTTGGGGAAATATAAGATGTTCACTTATAAATACAGGGTATATACAAAATAAACAGTGATTTGAGGGAGAGGCACTAACAATGGGGGGAACCAAGAAGGAGTGACACTTCAATGGAGCTTTCCAGGGAGCCAGGGCTTCCAAGAGGCAGAGGTAAAGAAAGGCAGCACCCAGAACATGGGGGGCAGCCTATCATAAAGGCATGGACCAGGAAAATGAAACATCCTGCATGAGAAATAGCAAGGAGGTCAGTTTGGCTGGAGTTTTGAGTATATGAGAAGTAATGTATGATCAGCCTGGTTAAACAGACTACAGACATATTATGAAAGCCTTTCAATGACAAAAGAGGTATCAGTATTAGCCTAGTCATATTTTATCAAAGTGCTATTACTTTAACAGTGATGTGGAGGATGGTTCAGGGAGGAGAGGCACACCAATTCAGAGGCTACTGCATAGTCTAGGCAGGAAGAAATGAGGGCCTGAATTAGGATGGTTGTGGTGGGAGTAGAAATTGATAAACACAGATTTAGAACTAGAAGAGACCTAAAAAGCCATAGAGTTAAATTCCTGCCTTTTACAGAAAAAGAAACTGAGGAACTGAGAGATGAAGGGACTGATCTAGGATTGCCCAACTAGAAGGCACCTGAGGTGGGACACAAACCCAAGTACATAAACTACAAGTACAGCACCCTATCCATGATACCATGCTCTGAGATGCAGAGGGGATGGATAGACAAACCTTAGTAATTGAAGTTTTGGGGTGGGAAGTAGTGAAAGTAAAATGCTAGAGGGAATGACGATAACTTTCATCCTGTCAATGCCAAAAATGGATTCCATTTAGCTCAGTGACAATCATTCTCCTTAACTGTTCCTAGTAGGTATGGGACTCCCTCAGTGCTTTTACCGAATGTGAAACAAAACTTTTAAGATCCAGAGCAGTCTCTAGTTTGAAGCAACCAAGGAGAACATGGAATGTGAGCACTGGAAGAGATCTGGGACAAAAGAATGTTAAGAGCTAATGGGTAATCCTAGAATGAGAGCTTTTGAGCTGGAAGGAACTGAAAGATCATTTTAATCCAGTCCCTTCATTTTACAAACAAAACAACTCAGGTTTAGAAACCTGAAGAAACATCAACAGGGCTCTCAGCTACTTAGTGGAAGAACTGGGGCTTGAACTCAGGTCTTCTCACTCTAATTCAGTGCCCTTTTCCCTATCCCACGCTAGCTTCCCTCTCCCTTCTCAAAGTTGAGTTTGGAAGGGGCTCTTTATATTCATAACCACCTAGATATAAGCTAGGCTTAACTGAAAGAAAAATATTTGCCAAATATTCTTTAAAAATTTCAATTATTGGGGCAGGTAAGTGGCGAAGTGGATAGAGCACCAGCCCTGAAGTCAAGAGGGCCTGAGTTGAAATCCAGCCTCAGACACTAGCTGTGTGACCCCGGCCAAGTCACTTAACCCGACTGCCTAGCAAAAAACAAAACAAAATTTCAATTATTTGCCAACTACCTGGCATCAATTTGACTCTCATTCAGGAGTCAGCTGGTACCAGGCAAAGGAGGTAAGAATGGTTATTGGCCACCAACACCTACTCTAGATGTAAACTGCCATTGGAATTGGAAAAGTAGAAAGGCAACTGTAAAGAAGATACTGTTTTCTTATCAGAAAAAAATGCTTAATAAATCTAATTATATTTTGTCTAGACCTTTAATTTAATTAGCATACAGAACCTAGTGTGGAAACTCCTTCTGCCAATGCAGATCAGTAACTTGTCTGTGACAATTGGTCTTAGATAGCTGCCAGGAGCAGTGAGAAGTTATGGGATTTGTCCATGATCAAACAGCAGGATTTGAACCTAGCTCTTCCTGATCCTAAGGCTCACATTCTTCTTCATCAAGCTATAAATCCACTACTTTGCCAGCTTACTATAAAGCACTCTGTAATCTACTCTTGACGCTCTTTAGTGGGATATTTTTGCTACTGTAAGCAAACTCTTGCTTGGCACATTGAAACTGTGAAGCTTTGGGCCTATTTCCTTAAGTGATGGTGATTAAATCAAACAAAGTTTAAATCTGATGTAATTTTTCTTAAAAGATGAGTTTGGTCCAGTAATGTGATCAACAGAAACACACATATGCACTCTTCATAAATGTTTCTGGCTACCTAAGACCAGGATTCATCTTTTTGAGTCAGATCTTTTATTATGATTTGCCTGTTTTGACCAATCAGAGCCAAAATCATTGAGAAATATCTTTCCAGACATCCAGACTTATCTTATAATGTCCTACCCTCATGCCTAACAGTCTATAGTATATACTATACATTCTAACTAATTTGGACTATTATTTGTTCCTCTTCTTGCACTATTTTTGTCTGTGCCTGGAATAGACTCCTCCCCTAGCTATTTGATGAAGTCTCTATTTAATCAGTCAATAAGCATTTATTAAGTGCTTATTATGTTCCAGGAACTGTGCTAAGTGCTGGGAAGAAAGATACAAGTAAAACAGTCTGTGCCCTCATGTAGCTTGCATTCTAAGGGGGGGGAGGAGAGGAGACGACATGCATGTCTATGTATAAATATTACATGTACATAATATAAAAAAAAACGAACATAAGGTAGCTTGGGGTTAGCGCTGTCAGCTTCACCTCAAAGGTAGTGCTTGAGCTAAGTTTCAAAGGAAATCAGGGCCCAATTCAGGTGACCACTTCCTCCATTAAACTTTCTCTGATACTCCCCCCACCCCACACAAGCCATCTTGCCTTCCTCAAATTCCTCACTTTCTCTGGTCCTCTCCTTTGCCCTATTCCTTGTATCACAGTTGACTGTGTACACATCTTTCCTCCCTATAAGGCTGTAGGCTCTGCTAGACCAGAGAGACTAGGCTATTTCCTTTCCTCGTATTTTCTGCACAGAATTTCCATACAGCCAGTGCTTAATAAATGTTTGCTGAATGAATACAATTGCTAATTAAGACCCTGTCTGGCAGACAATAATCCGGAGAAACTATGACTATAAAAGCTCTCAGGGATATACTCACTCCCTGGGTGGTGGGGGCTGGGGAGTGGCCACGTGACTCTGTTTGGCTTGTTGCTCCATTTTGGCCTCAATTTCCCGCTTCTTCTGAGCGATCAGTTCCTCTTGATGAAGAATATTCATGTTCATCTTCCCAGATTTAGGTGGTGCAATTCCAAACCACCTGTTGGCTTTTCCTGCAGAGGTAACACTCAAGACCATCAGAAATCATCGATCAGTCTTATGCAGTTTAAACAGGCAATAGGATACAAAAAGTAGAAAACAAGGCTCCTTCCTAAAGGAGTTTACAATCTAGCTAGAAAATCATCTGAACAAACAATGTCTATGCTATACATCTTATGGTATTCTGCTAGGCACTGGAAGATATGAAAATAACTGACAGTCTCTCGTCCTCATAAAGCTCATACTCTAGTAGGAAGATATGATGTATACACAAATAATAATGTGAAGTGATCCATGATCACTACATCAGAGGTAAATCATGCTAGGGGAGTTCTCAGGTGGGAAGAAGCATTAATAACAAGGGCAGGGGAAGGCTTCATGAAAGAGAAGGAAGGCTTCAAGGAAGGCAAAGGATAGATAAGATTTGAACAAGTGAAAAATCAGAGCAGATGAAGTGGGATGAAAGTTGGGCATTCCAGGAATAGAGAAGTGGGGCAAAGCAGAAGTAAACGCAGGTAGGTGGGTAAGGAGTATGGCAACCAGTACAATCTGGCTGAAGTAAGAAGAGTAGAGTATGATAGAAGACAGGAAATAGGGTGCTGTCAGACTACGGAAGATCTTAAATGCTAGGCTAAGGAGTCTGAGGTGGAACATAAGGAATCACTGAAAGCAACACGATTGGTGACTAGACTAGATGGTCTCTGAGGTCTTGCCAGCTCCAATCTATGATGTCTGGCTGACAAGAGCACACATCTCAATAAGGTATGTAAGTGCATAATTAAGTTCAAGGGAAGGTGACTCTGAAGAATAAAGTGACCAGAGGACTCTAAGTTGACAGGATATGAGCCAGGCCTTCTAATTAGCTATCATATATTTTTAACTTCTATGTTGCTTCCCCCCTCCAAGGAAAACATAAGTTTTTGAGGGCAAGAACTATTTTCATTTATATCTTTGTATCTCCAATGCACAGCACAGTGCCCGGTACATAGTAAGTGTTTCCCCCTTCTCAGTTCTGCTCCTGAATTTTCTGCTATCAAAAACATGCCTCAGCTGCTGCCTCATACTAGAGCTTCCCTCACTGCCCCCGAACATCCAACAACCTCTGTGGCCTTCTTACCCTGAAATATTCTTCTACCAGCTTGGTCCCCTTCCTCTCACTGGTGAGTTTTTCCTGAGGCTTCCATTTTGTAGAGAGTCCCAGGCCAGCCAACCTTCATTTTCCATCTACTCCTCTCTTTTGTGTGTTGTCTTTTCCCATTAAATGTAAGCTCTTCCAGGGTAGGAACCATCTCTTTTTTTGCTTGTATTTGTATCCCTAGCACTTAGTACAGTTGCTGACACATACTAAGCACTTAATAAGTGCTTTTTGCCTAGTCTTACCTTACCTAGCTTAATAAATGTTGGTTGAATCGAATGGAATAAGCTAAGCAGAGAACATTCCAGGCAAAGAGAACAGCATAAGCAAAGACTCAGAGGGAAAGGAATGTGCATGAACTGAGACAGTCTGAATAAGCCAATCTGCCTGAAGCACATATTCACGTACACAGATATGGGTGTTTGGAATATTGTGCAGGGTTTTGATGCCAATCAATGAGCATTTATTAAGTGCTCATGTGCCAGGCACTGTCACTACAAAGACAAAAAAATGAAACTAGTCCCTGCCTTCAGAAACTTACATTCTTTTAAAGGAAAACAGCACGTGTGTGTGTGTGTGTGTGTGTGTGTGTAGATATATGTGTGTAGATATTCACATAAAATTCAACAGGAAGGAGGGGTACCCCATTAGCAGCTGATGAAATTAGGACAGGCTTCATGGAGAAGGTAGTACTTGAGTTGAGGAATTCTAGAAAAAGGAGGTAAAAAGGGAGTATATTCCTAGCAAGTAAAATAGACACTGAAAAGGTAAAGAGACAGGAAATGGAGTATTGAATATGAGTAGTAAGAAAGATGGTTTTACTGAACCACAAAAAGCAGGAAAACGGGTAATGTGTAAGGTAAACTGAAGACAGACTGCGAAAAATTTGTTCTCAAAGATAATAGGGAGCCACTGGAATTCACTGAGTAAAGGAATAACATGGTGAGACCGCCTCTTTAGGAAAAGCACTTTGGCAGCTGTGTGTAGGATGCCTTTTGAGGAGTCTCAAGACTATTGCAAGAGCCCAGGCAAAAAATGAAGAGGGCCTGAATTCAGGCAACAGATATGTGGGTGTACAGCAGAAGATGAATGCCAGACATTTTGTGGAAGTAGAATGACAAGATTTAGCAAATGAATGAATATGTGGAATGAGCAAAAGGAGTTGAAGATAACATTGAGGTTGTGAACCTAGAAAGATGGTGGTGTCCTTGACAGTAAATGGAACGTTTTGTGAGAGGGGTAGGTTGATGAGTTCTGCTTCACACATCTTGAATTTAAGATGCTTATGGGACATTCAGTTTAAAAAATCCAATAGGCAGCTGGAATTCGGGTGAGAGACTAGAACTGGATATGTAGATGAGAAAGACAAACAATTAAACTATTAAGGTCACCATGTGAGAATGCAGAGAGAGAAGAGGGCCCAAACAGGGCCTTGAAGGATAGCCACAGTTAAGAAGAATGATAAAGAGGAGCTAGCAGAGGAGAACCAAGAGAGTAGCATATCCAGGAGGAGAAGACAGTCAGCACTGTCAGATGCTGAGAGATACGAAAGGATGACAACTGAGAAAAGACCACTAGACTTGGTAATTAAAAGTTAAATAAGTGAATAAGCATTACTCAAAAGAACCACAAACGAGGCACAACCACATATGAAAGAATATGCCAAAAACATTAATAAAGGAAATGCAAATAAAAACTCTGAGGTTTTATTTCACACCCAGCAAATTAACAAAGATGACAAATGACATATATAGTAACTACCGGAGGGGTTATTGATAAACAGGCACACTAATGTGCTGTTGGTGAAGCTGTGAATCAGTTCCACCACTTTGGGAAGCAATCTGGAATTTGGACAAGAAAGTAACCGAAACGTCAATACCTCTGACCTAGAGATTCCACGGCCAGGCATATACCCAAGGAGGTCAATGATAAAAAGAAAGGTCCCATAGACACCAAAATATTTATGGAAGCACTATTTGTAGTAGCAAAGAACTGGAAACAAAGTAGATACCAATCAAATAAATGATAGACAGCTGAACAAGGTGGTATATTAAAAATGTGATGGAACATATTACTGTGTGCTGTAATAAATGAATATAATGAATACAGAAGCAAGGGAAAACATTAATGCAAAATGAAGTAAAGAGAACTGTGGAAAAAAGCAAAATGACAACAATATAAATGGAAAACATAGCAAACAACTATGAATACTGTGAAATTATAATGACAAAATATCAGAAGGCAAAGTCTTGTGGGGGGGTGGGGGAGAGAACACCTCTCTAAGCACAGGTCAGGAACATGCAGAGCTCAGTTCAGGATGGCAGAAATCAGACAACTCTGAATGAACTGAGAGCTTGCAGGTCCCCAACCTGAGTGGTCCCTAAAACTCCCTAAAAACTAGAATGAACCAAACTGAAGCCAACGACGCTTGCAATATGTCATTGCATAAAGTCATAGATACAGGCTTTCAGCCAAGAATTACTTACCCAGCAAAATCAAGTATAATCCTACTAGGAGAAAAATGGACCTTTAATGAAACAGTATTTCCAAGCATTCATGATGAAAAGTCCAGAGCACTTTGAAGTGCAAACACAAGAGTCATGAGAAACTTTAAAAAGGTAAACATAAATGAACAATAAAGTGGAGAAATGATACTATCCACCAACTGAGGAATAGCTGATCAAGTTATGGTATATAAAAGTGTTGGAATACGATTTATTTCATGGTAAGAAATAATGAAGAGGATGGTTTTAGAGCATCCTGTTAAGACTTGTATGAATTGATGCAGAGTCAAATGAGTAGAACTAGAACAATTTATGTAGTGACAACAATAATGCAAAGACAAAAAACTGAAAGATTTAGTAACTAATCAGAGTAGTGATCAACAATTCCAAAGGATTCATGCTCAGATGTGCTACCCATCTCCAGAGAGAAAAGTGAAGCACTCAGAGTGCAGAATGAGACAAATAAAATTAACATGGCTAATGTGGGATTTTTTTTTAACTTCACTATTATGTAACAGGTATGTTGTTATTCTATCTCACTGGGAGGGGAGGTGGTAAAATTCTGCTGATTGAAAAAAATTTAATTTTAGAAATTAAGAAAAAAAAGTTAAATTGTAAAAGACTGCAGTGTGAGAGGAGAGGAAGGGAAGGCATAAGTAAATACAGTTTTTCCTAAGTGACAATGGTTTAAACTCAAGAGGGGGAGTGAAAGCATAAGTACAGACAGCTTTTTCAAGCTGATGAGGGTCTGGACTAGAGTGGCAGCAGGAAGAAAGAAAAGGAAGAGATACGTAGAGCCAAGAGACACTGGGAAAAAAATAAATCTTCAGGATTTGGTGATTAAATCAATATAAATATCAAGGAAGAGCTGAAAATCAAAAGTTCACTCCAAGATTTTGAGCTGGAGGTAGGATAATGGTGATGCTACCACCAAAATAAGGAGGTTCAGGTAAGGTGAAAGAGGAATCAAACCTAGAGGTAAAAACAATAATTCATCTCTGATAATAGCTCCAAGAGACATTCTACAGAGCACTGTAGGTGTCCTCCATAACACTGATTTCAGAAAGTTAAGGATATGACATTTCCCTTCAGCAAAATTCAGTTTATCAAATATTTGTCCTTTCAGATTATACTTCAAATATTTATTAAATGCTTGCCACATGCAAAGCACTATCATAGGCACAAAACACAAAAATATAATAGACTCTCCTCCCAAAATGCTTACAAGGAGTTGTACTTGATGTTTTCTAAAGTCCCTTCCAGTATTAAATCTTCTGATTTAATGAAAAGACATCTCTCTCTCTCTCTCTCTCACACACACACACACACACACACACAATGAAGTACAAAGGACCAGACGAAATAAAATACTAGTAAAAATCTGATGAGGGAAGAATCTCTTTCAAAGGATTCAAAGATGGAAAGGACCGTAGAGATCTCCTAGCATATAACCCAAACAAGCAAACTGGGGGCCAAAGAGGTTACATGACTCAACCAGGGTCACATAACTGGTATTCAACCCCAGGTCCTTGAGCTCCAAATCCAATAGTGTTTTTTCCATTGCACTAGAATGCCTCTGGAGAGGCTGAGGAAGGGACAGAACCAAAGAAGACATCGAGGAGGAGGGGAACCCTTAGTTTCACCTTAAAAGAACGTACTTAAAGAGGAGATTGCTTCCAAAATCCTCCATAACTTTTTCCTCTTTACCACTTTTCTTACACCTTAGACTGCCCCTTGTGGAAATGGAGGTGAATGCAGAAATGACCAAAATCATATCTATAATATCTACGTCAATCAGTATGACCTGTAATGATTATACTAACAATTTAGACTTGTTGGAGCTTCCCTACTTTCCAGGGGACCCTGACTGGAAAGCTGAGGTTGCAGAGATCAAGAAGAGAACTAGGAACAGAAAACAGTCAATTTGGATGAACAGCAACTACACAAAGGGAAGAAGTATGAGACCAGGTTGGAAAAGTAGCTTGGAGTCAGCTTATGAAACACCTTAAATGAGTTTACACTTTATTTTTTTAAGCAACGAAGAGCAAAGAGCCATTGAAGGTTTTTATGTTAAAAAAAAAGTGTCATGAACAGAATGATACATAAGGACTGATTGAAGAAAAGATATAATGGAGACAGAAGATAAGTTTGATTATTACAGTAATACAAATGGGAAGAGAAGGGCTACTGAATAAGAGATGTTTAGAGGTAATTGAGAAGAGGCATTGGATGCAAGATATTACTGCTTTTCAAAGAAAAGTTTTATTATCCTAAAACAACCTTTTTAAAAGTAGAGGCACTCCTAGTTCTAGTTTATAAATAGTTACCTTCAAAATCAACTCTCTGTCCCATCTGGCTCTGTAACACTGTCCTTTCTATGCGCTTTGCTTTTCTGGATTACTAAATTGAAGAGCTAAGGACCAGGGAAGAGACCCACAACATTTACTTTTTAAGTTAAAAACTTCCACTGCCCTAAACAGTGATCGCTTTTGGAAACTTTTTTTTTAAGTCACCAAATTTTTAACAGAATTTTTTTTTTGAAAATGAAAACTGTATTGATATCTTTTGTTTTTACACCACTTATATTTCCCAAAATATCCTTCACTTTTTCCCTGAGAGCCATTTCCTATAACAAAGAATATAAAAGAGGAAGAAAAAAAACCAGTTCAGTAAAACTAACACATTTTTAAAGTCTGATATTATCAACAGTATTCCACAACTACAGCCCCCCTCCCTTTACAAAGAAAAAAAGGAGTATGTGTCTTTTCATTTCTCTTCTTTGTACAATTAAGACTTTCACTGAGGAAAGCATATACTTCTAGAATATAAGAGATGGAATCAATCATGAAGCTTAGAAGTCATCCAGTCCAGTCTCCTACTCCACCCAGATTAGACATAGGAACATAGATTTGGAGATAAAAAGGACTTTGGAAAAAAAGGACTTTGGAAGTCATCTAATCCAATCCATTAATTTTAAAGAGGCGTTTCAGAAAACTGAGGCAAGGGAAGCCAACTTGCCCAAGGTCACACAGACAATAACAGTGACAGCCAGGTTTCAAACTCAGGTCTCCTGACTCCAAATATAGCTCTCTTTCCATGATACCATAATACCTCATCTATGCATAAGGTAAGAAATTAATATTTCCTCTGATCTCTATTGCATTGATTCTACAGTGTAATTGGTTTTATGTAATATTGATTTTTTTATAATGGTTAGCATCTGCCTAAACTCAACTGTGAGATCTCTCCCATTTAGAACTGGCTTAGAGGCTGTGGTTGAAAGGGAATAACGTGATTACTCCTAAGCCCTGGGACATTTGCTTGCTAACTAGTAGTACTTGTTTGTTGTTTATAAACAACTGCCCAGCTTTAGCTGGACCCCCCTTCCTAAAGACAATTCTTCAGTCCTTGAAGTTCCCTGAGAAATTAGTGGTGGTTTGATCTTCCCCAAGAGGACAGCTAACAAAATGATTTCAGTGGTTCTGATTTTCTAGTCAAGATTATAAGAAGCAGCTGAGTCCCAAAAAGTAATTAACATTTCTTTGTCAGTGAGGGGTTGTGATCAACCACACCTGAAGGCCAACCCACTTGCCCCAGCGACACTGGATACAGCTGCCCAACTACAGCAACAATAAAAATGGTTGTTTCCTTCTCATGAATGTATCTGACCTGACTGAGGGGCCCAGTCTGCCACAGTTTATTTACAGCAGCACAGTTAATAAACTGTTATCTTCGTTAGAGAAAATGCACATCAGTTTGCCTTTATTGCATTTTACTCACCACACCGTCACTGTTTTTACTTAAGTTACCAGCGAAGAGGAGCTCCCCGTCTAACAAGACAGCCTCCAATCCTTCCTCTACAAAGCTGCTAAAGTGATATCACTAAAAGCCATGTCCCCTGTTCAAAAAGCTCCAATAGCTCCCTTCTTGGGGCAGCAAGGTGGCACAGTAGACAGAGTGCCTGGCCTGGAGTCAGGAAGACCCATTTTCCTAAGTTCAAATATGGCTTCAGATACTTACTAGCTGGGTGGCCCTGGGCAAGTCACTTAAATCTTTGCCTCAGTTTCCTCAATTTGTAAAATGAGCTGGAGAAGGAAATGGCAAACCACTCCAGTATCTCTGCCAAGAAAATACCCAAATGGAGTCATGAAGAGTCAGGTGACTGAAAAACAACAAGCTCACATCTTCCTTACAGAATAAATACAAATGCCTCTGTTGGATATTTGAAGTCTTTAACAATCAAGCTTCAGCCTGCCTTTCCAGACTCATTATAGGACATTCCAAGTAGTTTAAAAGCTAAATAAATAAATAAATTCTGTGCTGATGACCCAACTGACAGACTCAGACTTTTAGCAGGCCCATATTGCCTACCCTTCTAAGGACAAGAACTGAGGAAATAAATTTTGGGGGGAATGGAGAGGAGTGGAGAGCAGATTTAAAAGTCAACTGAGAACAAAGAATTTTTAGAGCCAGAAAGGAACTTAGAGGTTATTTAGGCCAAAACCCCTCTCATTTTTACAAATGAGTCTTGAGGTTAAGTGACTTGCCCAAGGTCACAAATAAGCAGCAGAACTTGTTTTAAAAAACCCACATCTCCTGAATCCAAATCTGATACTCTTTCCATTGCACCCATTGCCTGCAAGCCAAGATGATTCATGACTCCAATACTTTAACTCAGTTACTGACCATGGGCAAGTCACAAATCTTTCAAGCTTCAATTTTCTCTATATAGTGGGGGATATTAACATTTCCTATCCAAGTTGGTTGTTGTAAGTTTAAAAACTCTGTAAACATTCAACACTATAAAAATGTAAACTTTAGGCACTGATCACCAAAATAAAACACATTTATAAAGACCTCGAAAAAGACCTACAACACACTGAATAGATTTTCCTATTCGAAATATATGGGAGCATATAAACAATTACAGAGTTTGAGAAAAGGTAGATGTGATACAATCTGTACTATTAGTGAATTATGCATACTGAAGTACTGTGTAGAAGAGCATCAGTTTGGAAAATAATTATCTCCAAGTAGTTTGAGTTGACCTACCTCCCTCCCCCCCGGAACTGTGTTAAGAGGACAGAGGATCTCCTTTCCTGCTTTGGCACAGAAATAGTATTAGCAGCTCACATTTACATAGTGCTACAAAGTTTATAACTTTTATCATAACTACAGCTGACATTTATGTGGCATTCGAAAGTTTACAAAATACTCATCATACGTTATCTTGTTTGAGCCTCTCAACAACTGTTTTATAACATTTACTATAGATATTGGGAAAGTTGAGTGATTAGCCCATAATCACACAACTAGAAAGTGTCAAAGAACTTGCCTCACAACAACCTTGACAGGAAGTACATATACCCATTTTACAGATTAAGAAATTGAAGCTAAAAACTAGCGATAGCACTGGAATGCCTTTGGTCACAAGAGAGGAAGTATGAGAGCCAATACTGGAAGAAACACAAGCTTTCTGATTCCAAATTCCAGTGCTCTTCCCACTACATCACGGTGGCAGAAGACCACCTTGCTTTTATTGCTGTATGACTTTAGACAAGTCATTTCCTCCTCTCTGGGCAGGGCAAGATCGAATTCGACAAAACCCAACAAATGATTTAAACAGCACCGTTGTGCCAGGCGCTCCGGCCTTCTAGGAGATTACACTCTTCTGGGGAGAGGGAGAACACCACAGGTAGAGAGACAGGTAAACACGGGATGAGTTAGGGAGAGAGAGGGTAAAAAGGAGAAGAGGAGCGAGCACTGTTTACAACAGGACCCGAGAAGGCTGACCCCGGTGGCCGCTTCCAGCTGGGCTCGCCGGGGCCGCGGCAAGGCCTGCCGCTAGTCAGGTTAGCGGGGCAGGATTTCCTGACAAACTCCAGGCGCAGAGGCTGCCCCGCCAGGGCCCGAGGCGGCGGACACGAGGCCGGGGAGGGTGCGGGGCTAAGAGCGGCCACCGCAGGGGAGGCGCAGCCGCCCCAGGGCCGCCCCCGCCCGGCTTCGACCCGCCCCCGCCGACAGCCGAGAAAACCCGGGGCTAGGGGTGGAGTGCTCCCGAGGGAGGACTCCAAGCTCCGAGCTCCAGCGACGCGGCGGCAAGGCCGGAGGCTCCGCGGCCTGGGCCGGCCTGCGCTGCGCCTCTAGAGGGGAGCGGAGCCTCGAGGAGGGGAACGAAGAAGGAGGCTGTTACCTGCAACATCCCGACTGTCCATCTTGAGGTCCTCAATCCCACAGTGCACCGCGCCCCACCTAGGGGCGGGTGGGGATGTCTGTGTGTGCGTGGAGAGGCTGAGAACGGGGAGAGGCGAGAGGTGAGAGTGATGTTAAACTGCGCACAGCCTGCTGGGACGTGTAGTCCGTGCCTCTAGGATCCCACCCGGACGTCACTATAAAAGAGTCCTTAAAGAGGTGGCCTCACTCTGACCTTAGGACTGTTTCTGACTCGTCCTCTGAGGGACGGAAAACTTTGTGGTTGGTCTGAAAGCCACCCCTTATTGACCTCGCTCTCATCCCGTGGCAGCCTACAACTCCCAAGAGGAGCCGCGCGCCCGAAGGAATTAGGGAGGGATGCTCACGAGCGCCTCATCAAGTTATCACGAGAGCCGCCGCGGCTTCCGTCCGGCGCCCCCTCCCCCAACGTAGTTGGGCGGCCGGTTGTTGTTGTGAGGCCCAAGATGGCGGCTCAAGCGGCCCAAGCGGCCCAGGCCGAGGCCTCAGAGTCATGGTACCTGGCGCTGCTGGGCTTTGCCGAGCACTTCCGCACGTCGAGTCCGCCCAAGATCCGACTGTGTGTCCACTGCCTGCAGGCCGTGTTTCCCTTTAAGCCTCCGCAGCGCATCGAGGCCCGCACGCACCTGCAGCTGGGCTCGGTGCTCTACCACCACACCAAGAACAGCGAACTGGCCCGCAGCCACCTCGAGAAGGCGGTGAGGAAAGGCCCTGGGATCGCGGCGCGGCGGGCGAACAGGGGCTGCAGCCGTGCTGCCGCCGCCGCCGCCGAGGCCCCGAAGCAAAGGGCCTCACAGCTAGGCCAAGCCTAGGGGGAGAGGGGGTGGGCCGGAGAAAAGGCCTGGGATGGGGTGACAGGTAGGAGGCAGTTCATGGCTGAAGTGACAAGAGGAGGACCCCCAGGCCGAGGTGAGGGGAGGAAGATCACCTCGGATTGAAGTGATAGGAGGATAGAAAAGGGGGACTTTTGGACTGAGGTGACGAGAGGCAGAGAGCCTTGGCTGAGGTGAGGAGAGAAGTGACAGAAAGGGAAGGACCTTTAGGGCTGAGGTGACAGGAGGGGGACCCCTGGGTTGAGGTGACAGAAAGGGGGGACCCTCGGACTAAGGTGACGGGAGTAACCCTCAGACTAAGGTGAGAAGAGGCAGAGAGCTCTGGCTGAGGTGACAAGAGGGGGGACCTGGGCTGAGATGACAGAAAGGGGGGACCCTTGGACAAAGGTGACAGGAGGCACAGAGCTCCAGCTGAGGTGACAGAACGGGAGGAACCCCTCCCCCCAAGCTGAAGTGATAGAAGGAGGGGAGATTGGACTGAGGTGACAGAAAGGGAAGGAACCTTGAGCTGAGGTGACAGGATGGGAACCCCCAGGCTGAGGTGATGGGAGGAGGGAAACCTGGGCTGAGATGACAGGAGGGGGGAACCTCCAGCCTCAGGTGACTGAAAGGGGGGACCCTCAGGCTGAGGTAACAGAAAGGGAAGACGCCAAAATTGAGGTGAGGGGAAGAGAGTAGACTAAGGTGAGGTGATAGGACAGGGGGAAGCCTAAGCTGAAGTAACAGGAGGAGAGAACCTGGGCTAAGGTGACAGAAAAGGGAGGACCCGGGACTGCAGAGATAGGAGGAAGGGAGCCAGGTTGAGGTAACAGGAGAGGGAAAGCCCAGGCTGAGGTGACAGGAGGGGACACCCCCAGGCTAAGGTGATAGAAAAGAGGACCCACAGGCTGAGGTGATGGGGAAAAGGGAGCCATAGCTAAGGTGACAGAATGGGTCAGAAAGGACAGACCAGAAATGAGGATAGGAGCGAGAGAAAGTGGGGCAGGAGGGCTCAGAGATGAGGTGACAGGGGAGGGGCAGAGGCTAAGTTTGGAGTGATGGGGGTTACAGGATAGCCTGGACTGGCTGGGGAGAAGGAAGGCTTGGGAGGGAGGCAATAACTTTTCAAATGGCCATCCTAGTTCCGAGTGTTGATTTCACTTTTTAACTTAAGAGTATTTCCCTTTCCTTCTTGCTTTGTCACAGTCTAGTTTTGAAAAGTAGCTGGTACTTGTCATTGCCCTGTGTTTAGTATTATCAGAGTTGTAAAGTTGTTTCTAATAACAGTAACACTGTACTACATCAGAGTAGACAGTTTACCCCCAGAGTGGTTACTTAGATCTTACTTGCTACTGTACTAAATCCTGACTTGGTACTGTATGCAAAATAAGGATACTAGTTTAATATTGGTTAAACAAAGGAAGATTTTTGTGTACCATTTTGTGTACAAAAGATTTTGTTTGGTTTTAGGTAATAATATTAACTTGCATTTACATAGCCCTATATAATTTACAAAGGACTTTTCCTCACCACAACTCTGTGAGGAAGATAGTACAGTTAATTGTCTCATTTTACAGATTTATAAACTGAGGGTCAAAGAGTCCAAAATAGCCTATTCATTTGAGTGATTTAGCTGAGATTATAACCTGGTTTCTTCTATTTCTGCTATACTTCACTGCTGCAGGTGGTGGTAATAAATAGATCCTCTTTCTTTCTATTTTATTATTTTTAGGCAATTGGGGTTAAGTCACTTGCCCAGGGTCACACAGCTAGTAAGTGTCAAGTGTTTGGTCTGAGGCCAGATTTGAACTCGGGTCCTCCTGACTTCCGGGCCAGTGCTGTATCTGCTGCGCCACCTAGTTGCGCCATAAATAGATCCTCTTTCAAGAGAAGGCCAAACATTTCTTGGAAACTTTATTCTTATGATATTGATGGTCATTAGGCAGCTTGGTACACTGGAAAGAGCACTGGCCCAGGAATGAGAGAACCTAGGTTCAAACCTTGCCTCAGGTTTACTACCTATGCGGTTTGGAGCAAATCACTTAACCTCACTGGGCCTCAGTTTCCTCATCTGTAAAAAGAGGGGGCTGGATTAAATGACTTCTGAGGCCTTTTCTAGCTCTAATCTATAATCTTAAGTGTTAACTACAAGGAATGAATGTTTCTAGTTGGTGATTGGTAGTACTTTGCCACAAACTATGTCCAGTTCAAATGTAACTTAATCACAGTTTATATTAGTGAAGTGCTTTAATAATAATAATTGACAAAAAAAAAGTGTTAAAAAAATAATAACTGACACCAAGTATTTTATGTTTTGAAAGTATCTGCGTGACCTTGGGGCAAGTTATTTTGGACTATATGGCCCCCGAGTTCAAAACAACTTTCCTTCTATTATCCTAAGAAATCTGTGAGAACCAGTCTCCCTCCACTGATTACCCTCATGTATATGTATTCCGTGTATCCTCCCCACTCCCCCAAGTAGAATATAAGATCCTGGAGGTCAGGGACCATTTTTTTTTGTATTGACAGTGCCTAGCACAATTCCTTGCACATTGAATTCAGTAGTTTAGCAGGTGTTTTAAAAAGGGTCCAAGGCACTGTGGTAGGTTCTAGGGGTGCAGAAATATCCCCTACCCTCAAGGACTTTATATTCTACTAATGTATAGATAGATGAAGAATTGCAAAATATATACAAACTTAGACAAAGTAAGTTAATGGAGAGAGTAGTAAATATAGCCTAACCTAATATATTTGCTAAGATGAGAAAAAGGAATCAATTTTAAATTTAATAATCTTGCTGCAGTACACATGAGAAGAGCATATATGTGTTTATATGGTAAAGAATAAACCAGTCTTTAAAAATGTTTTCTACTACACTTCAGAAAATAGATCAGATTCCAGAACACTTGCTTTAATTAGATTCTGTATTTCCTTGAATTTTGGATGAACTTTGTTAGTAAATCCCCAGTGAATAAGCTGCTCAAGAGCAGGTGTTGTATCCACATAGTAGGTGCTTAATAAATGTTGAGTTGAGGTAAATGGTGCCAGTGATGAGAAAACCAAGATTTACAGAGCTGAAATGTATTTGCCTAATATCAGTAAGTATCAGAGGCAGTAACCAAACCCAGTTAATGAGCAGGGTAAATTATAAGCCATTCAAATGCTTGAGAGTAGCTATCATGTCCTACCTTCATCTTATCGCCTTCTTTCAGCCAGTCTTTTTGGGGGGGAGGGGAGGGGCAGGGCAAGACAGTTGGGGTTAAGTGACTTGTCCAGGGTCACACACCTAGTAAGTATTAAGTGTCTGAGGTGGGATTTGAACTCGGATCCTCCTGGCTCCAGAGCTGGTGCTCTGTCTACTGCGCCACCTAGCTGCCCCCAATCGGTCTTCATATGATGTGGACTCAAGGCCTGTCAAGACTCATTATTGCCCTTCTTTGGACTGTCTCCGGCTTATCAACATCCTTCTTAGACTGTGGCACGCAAAGGTATACACAATATTCCAGGCCAGATATGATCTGACCAGAGCAGGGTACAGAGGGGCTATCACTTTCTTATTCTAGGTTTAGTATTCTATCCACTGCACCACAATGAGTTTTTTTGATGATGCTTCTGCACCTAAGTCAATTCTATTTTTAGTATCTCTGATTATTATTTTCACTGTCTTTTGCTTTTCCTGCTCAGATGTCTCAAGAAGTCCCCATAAGTCATTTTGTTTTTTTATAATTTTCCTCTGTCGTTTTTTTTATATTGATATTTTCCATCTGTTTAATCATATTGGCCAGGTTTAAGTTATGATGAAGGAATTTCAATAGTTACTGTAATTGTTCAGTTGACTTTCAGAACTTTTAAAAAATCTTTATGGGGAGGGGGAGAAATTTGTTACATATTGGAGGGTTCTTGTCAAAACAGTCCTGGGTGCTTTCCTCCTTCCTTGGTCACTTTCTTGAAGTTGAAACTGTGATACTGGTGTATCATGTAAGTGTGATATAATGCTTTTAATCAATTCTACCTAATCTAATTCTAGATTTGAAACTTAGCTGACACCTGTATCTACCTAATTGTTGGGGTTTTTCCCAGCTTTCTAAGCAAATACATTTTATAAGAGGAGACTTATACCTCATGGCTTTTTTTGCCTGGTTTCATTATTTGTTATTTTGACAGTTAGTTGGCAGTATTATCTAAATTCTTAGCATCATATGGTGTTTTGGGGTAAATATTTCATGAATTTGAGGTGTGTGCTTTATTATTCA